GGATGGAAATGTGTCTGGGCTGTTGCCTTAGGGCTACATAAAGGAGTCACATTAACATAAAAATACTTGAAATGAGATTAGAATTGCAGAAGTGGAACCTACCATGGTACTGACCACCTAGAACCTGGATACCATCTATAACTGACTGGGACAGCTTCTTGCTGCTTGGCCTGGAAAACAACAAGAACATCTGATAACCCTGGCAAAGGCATTTATCTATGGACTCTATGGGAAGGAAGCACAAGACTTTACAAGCTTCCTGCCACAAGATCTAGACTCACTGTGAAGAAATCCAAACCTTTCTCTGCTCAATTCCCAAAAAAGTTTGAAAGCCAACGCCCCCAGGGATTGCAAACACATGCAAAGTGCAGGACAGAGGTGGACACCACCCAGTACCCACAGAATTCCCCTAAAGACAGCACTGGTACTTCCATAAGAGCAGGATATATCCACAGCCTTTTGTCATTACCTGGTGTCTCTACCAATAAAAACTGAGGCATCTTTGTGCAGGTTCACTGCTGCTTTTTGGCAGATCTCAGTTATCACCTTCTGTAATTCTTGCTCCTCTGCATTTGCTAGTTGTGTGGCATACTCTTCCCAGGAAGGGTGCAGCATTTCTCCAAGAGGATCAACCAGCTTTACACCATTGTCTTCCTTAGCAGAAAAACAAAAGAACGAAAAATAGTAAGTCTAAAAGTGGGGAACTAATAAAACCTCTTTGAAGAGAGACAACACATGGTTCAGTCACATTGCTTCTTTAAAACTGGAGAGCTTCTGGGATGCAATAGTTTAGCTGTTTATTTAAACCTCCAACAAGCCCCAGAGAAGCACTATAACAAGCATACTGAGTAACCAACTCTTTCTCCCTTACAATTTTGGTGTGAAATTAATTCGACATCAAAATTACCTAAGAGGAGATTCAAACAACCTTCAATGCTCCACAGCAGCAAAAGTCTAAATGCCTGATTTGTAATCGCTGCATTTGCAGGTTTATTTTTAAAACGTACAGATTTTACTCAAAGGCTCTTCTCTTCTCAGTGTTACTCCTAGCTTCCCAACATTAGAAAGTTACATTGCAACATGAAATGTTTCCTGTGTTACACTATTTCCACAGGAGAATTCTGTGCACAGGGGAAAAGTAACTTCAGATAGACCAGAGATCCTATTCACGGGGCAGGCTGAGTGCTTTAAGCAGGTCCAAATGTCTTCAGGGTCATCCCAGTGCTATGATGAGCTTGGATTCCAACAAACTGATCACATCTCTCGGCCCTTCTACCAAAACACATCATTCCACCGAAGTGGTGGCCTGTTTGAGGAGAGGGCAGTCCTTACTTCAGGGTTGTGAGACGCGGTGACCATGACGCCAATGGTCGCTGTCACGGCTCTGGAGCGGAGCACGGCCAGCAGGCCCATGCGGAACACGACGTGGTCCAGCTGCCCGGCCTCGCTGCGGAACCCGGCGGTGCCGTAGTGCAGGGTCAGCCCGGCGGGCTTGGGGTGCAGCGCCGAGTACTTCCTAAGGGCTTCGGAATCCATCTGGAGGGATGGAAGCGGCACGGATGGAAGTGCGAGCAGGCAGCCGCGGGGAGCAGTCCCGCCTTCCTGCAGCGGGCACCAGCACCGGGGAAGGGCTCTCTACACTCCTGGAGAGCACGGGATGAACAGCGTGATCAGACACGCGCCGATCCCGCAGGCACGAGGCGAGGAGAGCCACGATTCCCAGCGGGCTGGATCCTGGGATCCGCACAAGTTCCCTCAGCGTTGCTGCCCGTTTCTCACCGTGACATCAGCCGCGCAGAGCGCTCGGCCGCGGCTCCATTCACTGATTTGCGAGCCCAAGAGCGGCGTGTCCCGCCTCCCGGCGCTCGCAGGGCAGCTCCCAGCGCTGTTCCCGGGACGCTGCCGCGGGCGCGCTCGGCTCGCACCGGCACCAGGCCGGGCGGGCGGGGCCGGCCGCACACGCGCCCCCTGCACGGCTGATTCCCTGGCACCCCCGGGGCTGGCGCGCGGACGCACGGGCCGGGCCGGGCCGGGCTGTGTGGATGGGGTGGGATGGGTGGAATAGGCCGGGTGGGATTCGGTGCAGTGGAATGGGATGGGATGGGTGGGGCGCGATCCCGACGGAGCCGCCGCGCGCCCCTCACAGAGCCGGCGCGGCCCCGCCCACTCGCTGCGGAACCGACCAATGGCTGGCGGGTGGGCGGGGCAGC